ATTTATTTCCCAGGATGAAGTTATAACTGACGAAGATGTCGCAGACATCACCGATGATGATGATGAAAGTTACAAAATAAATAGAGCCCATTTTGATGGCAATAAAACTACGATCACTATCTCCACCGAGGCTGGCTTGGAGTTATATCAGCATTGGCTCAATCAGGCTATTTCTGGCCTCATGGCAGCGGTCGCAACGAAAAAGTAATTCGGTTTTTTCCTAAAGCACGATTTTTCAATCCAGTCTACGCCAGTTAAGGTTGCAAAGCGTCCCTGATTATTTTCGAGCTGCTCATCAAGCCTGTGCAAAAAACGCAAGCACCGTAACAGCACATGCAAAATGTGTGGTGGTACTGCTTGATGCTGAGCTCAGATACCAGGACTGGAAAAGTAGATTCGAGAAAGCAAAAAGGATTGGTAGGTTACAGACAATTAAGCTATCACCATAATGTATTATATTCATTCTAGCTCGTTTGCGCAGAAGGTTTTTCCCGGAAAGTATGATTCTGAAAGAAGCAAAAGGCGATTCTAGCCACCCTTATACTATAAAGATGTTCAGACGAAGCTCGAGGAGACCGAATCCTTTCAGACTACAACGGATGAAGTTTGGGAAAAACAGCTATTCGCTGAAAAAGGTAGGGCCAAATTTCTTCGGGAAATGACGGAACTTTCTTAGCATTTTGAAAAGAAGTTGGAGAAAATCAGTCAACCTCTGCGCATATGAGCCGAAGAATGTTTTGCAGATCGGAACTTGTCATAATTCGACTGGATAATAGATATCAAAGCACAAAAAGCAAGAACATCATCACTAGGCTCCAAAGTAAAATAGAAGTTTGCTCGTGGTTAGTAAGTATGACTACTTATGCACACGATGTGCGAAAATAAGGTCGTAGTGCGCTCTATACGGTAGGTATAAGCGAAGGATTGTCTTGTTCATAAGGTTTCCAATCTCAGTGATTCATCGTGCGAATCATGGAAATCGAACGAACTCTTATGAGAATCCAAAGAAAGATTTCGATAAAGCTATAACTCTTTCTAAGTTTGTGAGCTTTTAGCAATGCTACAACTTTCTGCTACAAAATCAGTGAAATGCCTACAATGAGAAAGTTTCATGAAAAAATGAAAGGAAAAAATAGTCTATGCATACTTGAATCAATCGCTCTTTATAAAAACTACAGGCTACAAGGGCTCTTTTTTCACTCTATGTCTTATTTCAGCAGAAAGAATACTTCTCAAGTGATAGTGGGTGGATAGGATCGTTCAGAATGAGAGCGAAGCGTGCCGCGGATAAAAATTTCGAAGAGTGGAGAAAATCGCAGCAGAAAATTGAACGAATACAGAGGAGTAGTTACAGTCTTCTGCAAGGTTTGTGGCATTGTATAAACCA